ACATAGTGCAGCGAATTAAAATACAGCGGCTCCGCTGGCTTGGTCATGTCGTTCGAATGGACACCGACGCTCCAGCTCTGAAAGTATTCAACTCGGAACCCGCTGGTGGTAGCAGAGGAAGAGGGAGGCCCCCACTGCGATGGAAAGATCAGGTGGAGAAGGACTTGGCTTCACTTGGCGTTTCCAATTGGCGTCAGTTGGCACAGAGGAGAAACGACTGGCGTGCTTTGCTGAACTCGGCCAAAATCGCTTAGGCGGTTACAGCGCCAAAAAAGAAGAAGAAGATTGGGACTGCGCCTGGGTATAAACGAGCTCTTTTGAAAGTTCTTGATTCGGACGGACAACTAATGAAACGGGAGATGAATCACGTAGTACAACACCACAGCTTTCTTCCCATCGCTGCCGTCTTAATTCGCAACTAGGTGGTTTAAAACATCGCACTATTTTCGTGTCCTGACTTTTATTGCATACAGCGCACCGTTCAAATGTTTTGCCCCGTTTCATCTTGGTTTCCTTACATAAAATATTTAAGAAAAGTCGAACGTATTTACTTATTACCCAACTTTAAATGTACTTACTTGCTCTCCTCGGCGGTTTATCTCTTAAAAATTTCACGTGTATTAAGAAAATTTGTTGCTTGAAAAATTTGTGTGTAACTTGTTTTTAAACAAATTCAAATTTAAAAAAAAATATTTCAAATGGGTTAAGAATTCATTTCAGTTTGACATTATAGCCTGTTTCTTATGAGAGCAATGTCAAAATCAATCACACTTTGTTGAATACATTTTGGTCAAAACTGGTCAAAATATAGCAATTCTATTACTTTTTGTACAACTGTAAATGCTCACATATTTTTATTAAAAAATATAACCTACTACGATGAGTGAATTTCTAGTTTTGTTAAACAAAAGATTGAATTAATTAATATTTTTATTTCAGTTCTTTTCTAATAAAAAGGCAGTGAAACTGCAATTAATGTCTGAAATTATAGAAATGGTTTTTGATTTCATTTCGCTTCAGTTGTCCCAGCTGCGTTAGTAAGAGGTCTCTTCTATCACCGCCTTCAATATGACCGCTTTCAGTTTCGATATAGCTGGTTTCAATTTCACAGCAATCATTTCTGTCTATACAAATGTTATGAAGAGCACAACAAGCTACAATAAATTTGGCCATGGCTTCCACATTATGAAAATCGAGACGCAATGCGTTTTCAATTTTCACTCGCGTTTGGCAAAATTTCAGGTTGAATAGTTCTTCCGATTCGCTCAAACTTCCATAATCCCGAAATGGAGTTAGTAAATATTCACGAAGGGGATACGCAGCGTCGCCTAGCAAATGGTATTTAGGAGCTTGGAAGCACCTTTCCAATAAAAGATAATTTTAAAACCCGCGAATCATGAACTTTGCTAGGAATGCCTGTATATACAGTGGCTCACAGCTTATTTTATGCAGGTCATACTTTAAAGTTTAGAGCTCTGTAACTTCAAAATTAACAATTATTTAAAAAAACTATTTTGGTTTCATTTAAAAGAGTAAGTTCTCTTGTCTTACAAAAAGGCTTCACTTATTGTAAAAATATATGTATAAACAATTTAATAAAAAGAAAACAAAAAATACTACTTATTCACTAGCCACAGCTTATTTTATGCACTCACTTCTTTGTGTAGCGGTCAGTGTTGCCAAACATGGGCTTTTCCTACCAAAACTGGTAGGTTTTTTTCCATTTGGTAGGTTGGTAGGCTAGGTTGGATTTTGGTAGGTTCCGCGACAATAATAGTTATTCGCGAAAAATATAAAAGGGCTTGTCAATAAACTCACTGAAGTCCACCCTTGTCCACCTGACAGAGACTTCATGGTAAGACGGTAAGACTTGGAGAATATCACCAAAACTAACCTATTGGTCTTTCAATACGGTAGTAAGGCCCGTTGTCACATATGTGGCACTGGACTGATGGCCAAAAGCTAAGCAAGTAAAGGCGGGTACCACCTTGAGCAAGCTGCGCCGACTAGTCCGAGTGGCCATCACAGGAGATATTGGCACCTGTCCAACGGATGCCTTTTATGTCATTACAGGCATTCCTCCTTTGCCCAATCTGTTTGAAAAAGAGGACTGCTGGAGCACCCTACGACTGTCCCATATAATCAGCAAGAAAGCTGGAGGTCTGGGTCATTCTAAAGGCAGGTTCTAAAGGTATTCCAGTATAATCCCGAGTTATCCTTCTACAAACCCTACAAAGTCAGAATTCCTGAAAAGGACTGCTGAGAAGTGGTAACAACTGTGATTGACGAAGGGTCCCAAGTATGGTATACCGACGGATCAAAAGTGGACGACTAGAAATAAATAAATTAACTAAATATATAAATATAATATCGGATAGTCAGGCATGTCAAAGGCCTTAGACTCTTTTAAAACGGCCTCAAGCCCTTGGACAGCAGTAAATTTATCTTGAACCACTTGGAGGCCCACATTCCGGGACATGAAGGGTTTGAAGGCATCGAAAGGGCTGACTGTCTCCAAAGCCTGGAGCTTAAATGCGCTTGCATGGTCCATAGCCTTTTGTGAGCTGGTGGAGGAAGCCCCAGAGCATATTCTATGTGGCTGCCCACGTATCATAAATGCAGAAACCATTTAAAAACTTCAACAATTTTTGGTAGGATTTGGTTGCTCTTGGTAGGAAATTTTCTTAGGGAAAAAAATGTGTTCGTGGCAACACTGGTAGCGGTACAGAATATTTGCGCATTCTAACTGTAATTTCTTTTTCTGTGCTTTTGCTGCATTTTTGTAATTTGACTGTGTTACGTTTTACTTTGATTTTGTCGCTTGAAGTGTCTACTTCTGTGATTATTGAAAATGGGTCTGCGAACGACGGTAGAGAAACGAGAATTGGTTATTCACCATTTTAAAAACGGCCGCTCGCAGCGAAAAATAGTAAATATTAAAGCCCCTTCAGTACAAAAAATTATAGAGCGCTTCGTTCATGAGAATCGTGTGCATAGTAAAGGTAGAGAAGCACCAAACAAAATTTTCAGTGACACTGATGAGCGATATATTGTGCGAAAGGTAAAGGCCAATCCCAGACTATCCGCACCGAAATTGGCTTCTGAAGTTCAAGCTGACCTTGGGAAACAATGTAGTGTGGAAACTGTTCGCCGTATACTGCGCAAACAGGATTTTCGTGGCCGAGTATCACGCCAAAAGCCTTTCATCAGCCCAAAAAACAGGCAATGCAGACTCAGCTTCGCCCAAGCACATGTTTCCAAGTCGCCAGAGCACCGGAATTCCGTTATCTTTGCGGATGAATCGAAATTTAATACCTTCGGCTCGGATGGTATGTCCTATGTTTGGCGAAAACCGAATACGGAGCTAAATAAAGAAAACTTGAGGCCAACGATCAAACAGGGCGGTATCAGCGTCATGGTTTGGGCCTGCATGTCAGCTACTGGTACAGGGAAGTTGGCCTTTATTGAAACAACAATGAACAAAATTACGTACCTTCAGATTTTGAAGGATAATCTGTTGCAGAGTGCCGAGGATCTGGGCATAAGATCACATTTTCGAATTTATCAGGATAACGTCCGAAGCACAAATCGGATATTGTGCAAACCTGGCTGATATACAATTGTCCCCATCTGATGACACCGCCAGCACAGTCGCCAGACATCAATGTTATCGAAAATGTATGGTATATATTGGAAAATAATATCCGAAAACATAAAATTTCTAACAAAAACGACCTTAAAGAGGCTCTTAAAACGGAATGGGAGAATATTTCGCCTGATATCACTAAAAAATTAATAGCATCAATACCAAGCCGCCTTAAATCTATTGCAGACAATAAAGGATATCATACAAAATATTAGAAAAACTGAAAAAAATGTACCTACATAAGTTACAAAATTTCAAGTTCCTGCATAAAATAAGCTGTGACTAGAATAGATGCAATATTTTTTGTTTTCGAATTTTTAAGTTATGTAAATATAAGTTTTTTTAAATAAATGAAGTCCTTTTGTTAAACAAGAATACCTGCTCCTTCTATTAGTACCAATTTATTTTTTATATTCCTTATAGTTACTTAGATATAATGCTTTGAAGTTGCAAATATGCATTGCATAAAATAAGCTGTGAGCCACTGTACGTCCAGAAAACGTAGCTTTGCATCGCAAATTCCTTGCAACGTTATTGGTGCACAATCATGTCTATTTGTGTAGGTTGAACGTATTTTATTCTTAGGCTTTCTAATGGAAATGTAGCTACCATCTATGCAGCCCAAAACGTTTGGGAACCCAGCAATCTATTAACGTAATAAAGAACATTTTTTTAAAAGTGCTTTAATAACCAACTTTTAAGTTTTAATACAAACCTTTTCAAATTCCCTCGCAATAGCTTCTTTCTCAACATCTTCCTTTGGAAATCTTATTGACTCCAGCGCCACAGCTTCCACTAAGAAACTCAAAACTTTATTGAAGGTGATATGAATGTTCGACAGCGTCACGCCAAGGTTTGCTACTTCTCTGAACGTCGTTTTGTTAACGCTAAACCTAAAATACGTGTAATCAATGAAACCTTTGTAATAAATTCGTAGATATTATGGTGTATTTCTTGCATCTTATCACAAAAAAGAAAGCATATGAGTCTCCGCTGTAGATTGCAGTCTGCCTCCCTTGTAGCTCCTATTTACATACCATCTGCTAGAGGAATACCTTGCCTTGCCTAGCAATTAGTCCAATAATTCACTAAATCCAATTACTGCTTCCATTTCATCGTTTTTTCGGCTTAAAATTTTTTCAGCTGTTTTGCGGTGTGACATTGCCACACCATCATTTTATAGAGGGTAGAAAGTGGAACACTTCTGCGCTGCCAGAATGTAACAATTTTCACAAAAGAATGCGATACCCCTTTAGTATGTTGCCTAATTTTAAGAAAAGAACATAAAATCTTGACAGATATTTCGCAGTGCAGAATAAGTGTAGAATTTTTCCGAGAAAAGAAAACGCTATAAAATATCACAAGAGACGCTGGCGTGGGCTTTCCCAGAACGAAAGTTAGGGGGGCCCTCCTATAGAAAAAAAAATTTTCAAAACCAATAACTTACTAAAAAAAAATTTATTATAGCTTAAAATTATTGTACCCAATAGAGGTATGTTGTACAAGAACACATAAACATAGTTAACTTTTTACTGCGCAAGTTTATTCTACGAGGAGGAAGCATCGAAAGCCTAACCCCGTCAGTGTGAGACTTTAACCCAAACCGTCATGAAAGGTTCCCCTCCCGGTACCACCGTCAAGGATTTCGTTGGGATTATAACACTGTGAGACTGCTAAGGTTATAGATCTATTGAAGCACAAAAAATATGCATACTTAGAATTTTTAATACCCCCTCACAATTGTTGTATTGGCCTGTCAGCTTAACGCCAGCATCTACTAGTTGCATCAAATAACAACAAGCACTTTCACATCCCTAGTTTTACACTTGTTCCTTCGTCGCAACACAACCTATTCGATAAGAGTGTAATTATTTGTGTTTGAATGTTAATGTAAGTGTAAATGTGTGCATGTCCGGGATACAAAAGAATACGTAAATGTGCGTTTAGGATTGAGTGAAAGTTCAGCTTAGAAGGGAAATTTTAGCACTTCACAGGTAAATTGAGCGCACGATCGCTAAGCTAAAGACAGGCTAATGTCCGAAAAGAAAGTGACTTCGAATCAGCTAGAAGTGTGTCGCGGGTAGATAGTTTATGGAATTGAAAACCGTTTTGTGAATAAACAGCTGCTTTAGAAAAAAAACAGGGATAGAAGCGTCCGTTACAACGGAAAATTTTTTTTCCCTTATATAATGGGATTGAGACCTGCCGCAAAGAGGTGAGTCCACACGAATAACAGATTTTGCTGGCCCGTTGTCTAACTAGCAAAGAAGTTCATTATATAACTTAAATCACAGTTAAACGAAGATCGACGGCGATTTAAATAATTTTTTTTTGTGTAAAAAATACATACATACATACATACCTATGTAAGACTGGTCGAAATCGAAGCAAAAGTTATTTCAAAAATTGGGTGATTAAAGAGAGTTTGATATTAACTACATACATATTTGAATTAATGAACTTAAATAAAGAGTTCAATTATAATTGATTTAAAAATAAATTCAAATTAAATTTAAATAAATTTAAATAAATCAAAAATAAAATAAATTAAAATAAAATTTAAATTTAAATAAAATTTAAATAAAATAAAAATAGAATAAATTAAAATAAAATTGAATCAAATTACGTTACACTGAAGTTAGATTAAGTTAAAGTCCAACTAAAAATGTAATAAATTAGAATTAAGTGAATCAAGTTAGTTCAAACGGCAAATGTATCTCACGATCGAATATGTTGAAGAAAGCAATTAAACAAACACCCATACGTGCCCTGCAGAAAATCTGACTAGCTCAGAACTAGCGTAGAACTAGACCTTTTGCCGACAGTACTAGTTCTAGCTCAATACCCAAGCAATGCTTTCAACTGACCAGTTTTACATGGCGATGTCATTGGCGGTGGCAATTGTCGCCCAGTGCATTACTTTGCAACTAGTTTTTAACCAGTTTCGCTTCGGACAGTTTTTTTATAAGATAACTTTTTTAAGATTCGATTTTTGGATATTTTTACCGTTTTATCTTTTCCTTCACAGATTCCATGTTTGTTACATCTATATATATAAATGTGAATATCTGTTTGTTTATTACCTTATAACTTCTGAACCGCGGCACGGAATCGCACGAAACTTTGCACACTTATTTGCTTTTACCCCGGGAAGGTTATAGGCATAGAGAAAAATGGGTAGTACTGGAAAAGAGGGCGTGGCACCTCCTAACTAACTAAAATTTTCATGTTGTATATCTCTTGAAATATTTGTGGTAGAGCATTGGACCTTGCTGTCGAGATAAATAAAATTAATTCCATACTAATGGGAAAAAATTGGCGGTATTGGAAAAGGGGGCATGGAACCTCCCTTAGGCGTGAATTATTTAATCAGCTCTAACTTCGGAAACGTAAGTCACATGAACTTGAAATTTGGTATGCAGACATATCTCTGGTAGGTGCTTATAGTAAGTTATATACATAAATGGGGCTGTGAAAGAGGGCAGCAAATCAGAAAGGCGTGGAATATTTTACCAGTTATAACTTGGGAACCATAAGTCACATAAACATAACATTTGGTATGCAGACTTATCTATGGTAGATGCTTATAGTAAGGTATATATAAAAGAGTTTGTAAAAGGGGGCGTAGCACTTAACATAGGCTTGGAATTTTTTATCAGCCATAACTTCGAAACCACAAGTCACATGACCCCTTTAATTCCTTCTGGCGTGGGGTGAAACCCGCGGGTAAAAGCTAGTATTTTATAAAAATAAAAAAATAAAAATTATTGTCAGAGGCACGCAACAATTTAAATTCATTAAATCTGAAAACTCACAACTGCCTCCACCGCGATTTGAACCAATGATGCTTGAGTCGGAGGTCTTCTCGCCGAGCTACTTTCATATTGTACGAGAAGTGAGAATTTGCACACATACAAAGAATTTGTACACATACATCGCAAGTTTCAACTGTCCCGCTCTGTAGCCGTTTTGCACTAGTTCAGAGATAGTTCTGAAATATTTAGTTCGGAACTAGCGCTTTGCTATAAATTTGTTTGCAGGGTGTGTACTAGAGGTTTGCTCCGGAGGGGGTTTCCGGCGGCGGCGTGGTCAACTTCAAAAATATTCGGCGGCGGCGGCGGCGACGCCGGCGCGTCTGGAAACGCTGGCGCTACTGCTCATAAGGTAGATTTCAAAGAACCATGGGGCTACTAATCTTATCATTTCAACTCGACAGCGTTAGGCATTCGCCATGCCAATTATTCTATTATTATAATTCTATTTATTTCGTTATTGAATTAGTTTTAAATTTAAATATTGTTACTTCCTACTTGAATTAAAATGTTGAGTGTCTGGCGCTGATTGATGGGCGAACAGAAGAAGGACTGAGGTATATACATACATACACATACGGATCTCTATGTTCTCTACAGATCCGTATGTACTATTTAAATTTAAAGAAATAAAAAAATTTTTAAAGTTTAGTTATTGGGGTAATTTATGTCGCTCTCAATACATTTTTGCAATAATATCAACCATTATGTTAAATTATGGAGTTCTTACGATTTTTTGCGGATTGCATATTGAAAACAAGGTTGGTCTACTTTTTTTCCAAAAGTTTAACCCATCAACTCGAACCAGAATGGGCCTTTTTGACCCACTGTTTAAAAAAATGGCTTATAGATGGTTAAAATTTCCACTAAAATATGAAGCGCCAAATTTTTCTAAGGAGAACCGAATGTAATGAAAAATAATACGAATGTTTACCATGAAGAGGGAACTTTAACCCTGTGTAGAAAACATTGCGATGCGAGGGAGCAAAACCTTCCTGGGGTTTGACCACCACTAAGAAATGCTAACGTAATTTTCACACAGCCACCTAGTACTTGTATACGTATGTGGGACCCCAGAATAAAATAGCTTACGAATGTAAATATTAGCAAAAAATGTGTTTGTTTAAAATGTTAAAAAACTACATAGAAAAATCAACTTGTCTTTGTTTTATCTCCAATAATTGAGGAGTGAGATGCAAAGAGGCCGCTTCTATTAAAACTGCTTTCTGAGATATTGGAGTTAAAGGGTTTGATGTGTTATAACTTTCTTGTTGTTGTAGTAGGTGTATAAAAAAGTAGTATTGTTGTAGTATTGAAAAGAATTGTCTACTGCGGAAAAAAATCATTAGATTACCAGTATTCGACCCTAATTTAACTGTAATAAACGCTTTCGTCGAAAAATATGTTACCTATGTTTTTTCTGAGTTACGCTATTTTTGGAAAAATAAAGGAGATCATATTCTTGTCTAGTGGCCCAAATTATGCAAAAAAACTAATTATATTCAACAATTTGGTGACAGGTAATAAGGTCAATGGAAATAAGGTCAATTGACTTTATTTCCCACCCTGGTGCGAAATAAAGTCAATTGACATTATTACCTTTTCAAAAGCGAAATAAAGTCAACAAAAATTTGGAAATAAAGTCATTGACGCTATTTCCTCATTCAAATGGAAATAGCGTCAACAATGCTTAAAGTATGTCGATTCATAGAAAAAAATGTTTTTCTTACAATAAACATTGCCCCGTAAGTGTTGTTTTTTAATATATGAAAAAGGCTTTTGCCAAATCCTCAGAGTGGAGAAATGATCCATAACTTGCAAAACATTTTT